GCTGAAACGTTGTAATAAATATGGCGACAAAGATGAGGACAATAGTCCGAATAATGTAAATAGTGTATATAATACCTCATCTCAGAAATATCGACAGATAAACGAAACGTTGTGATAAATATGGCGACAAAGATGAGGACAATAGTCCGAATAATGTAAATAGTGTATATAATACCTCATCTCAGAAATATAGACAGTTTGTGATTTTATTCGAAGCACACATTTACCATTCTTCGATAGAACGCTGATGACTGAAGAATGAAAAACCATTTCAGCATTGTTTCTTTCAACCTCTTGTTTTTAGATATTGCCTCTTTACTGTAATGTCAACTATTTTTTTTTGTTATTGCTTCCTGTTGTTTTTAATATGTTAGTTTTTATTGTAATCGTTAAATTTCTAAACATTTAAAAATATTTAGACACACATTCGTCGGGCCTTGTTTTTTAAGCATTAAACTGAAAAATGTTCGATTGGCAGATTGTTATAAAAGCAAGTAGGCGTGAACTTAAGCCTTTTTTCAAGTTTGTTTGAAAAGAAAACAACATTAAATCGGGGAAGAATTTCCAGCTAATTCATTCAGCTTCTTTTATTTTTACAATGTTCCACGGGCCTTGAATAACTACTCAAACTTATGTAGAATCTCTGTTTACTGGTCCTCGATTTTATTCATTTGTTAAATCCTTTACTTCAGGACAATTATCAATAAATATACAGGGTGCGATGGGTAAATTGTCACCATTTTATATTTTTAATTTCGCGCATGCGCATTGTTTGTTTTAAATTTTATCGACTGCACAGTATAGTAGGGTCAGTTGGGCACCGTCTGGGAGAAAAAGAGCACCATGACGCCGTTCACCCCGTCAGAAATTTGGAAACAGCATGCTGTACTGCTTGGCATTCGCATTAGAAGCTCCAGTACGAATATTTCAGTGTTTGGCTGTCAATCTGAGGATAGTGTAGAGGATTCGGAAAGAGTTGGATTATATATCCAGTCAACATCATGGTGTTTGGAGTAATCATTAATGATGGTGACGTTATGCCTCCATTCATCATCCCCCAAGGCCTCACACTCAACACGTAGGTCTACATCTTTAGGAGATAGTGCTGGTCTGGGTCAATAGGGTGGCTTCCGGGAGACCCTATGTCTGACAAAAGGACTCTGTACCATGCCACACAAGCAGGAGAACCAAGTCATGGCTGCCAGACAATTTCTGCGACCACATCACATCTGGCCACCTAACTCCTCCCAGACTGCAACGCCCTTGATTATTATTTGTGAGGTGCAGTTGAGCAAGAGATCAATAAAACTCCTTGTAATATCAAAGATGAACTGAAAGCAAGGATATGGCAGCATTCACCAACTTAAACAAGGAGACCGTCCAGGAGAGTTGTTGGAAATTCCGAAGTCGTCTCTTGAGGTCGTGGTTCAAGCCAATGGCGATCTTATTGAATAAATTTACTCGTTATCTGTTAAAATGAAATGTCAGTGTTATTTTATTTTTTTTTGTGTGTAATTTAGACGACAATTTATCCATCGCAATATATATATATATATATATATATATATATATATATATATATATATATATATATATATATATTTGGTATTCCTTTGTATGAAATACACAAATTTTAAATTATATAATCCAGCAGCTATCCGGAAGAATATCACCTGACCTTGTGAAAAGGCAGATTGAAGTAAATAATTTTAACTTGATAACACTAAACAATCAAAAGCAAGAGAAATACAACACACTACAAAAGAATATCACCTCTGAACAATTTAAACAAATATTAAATAGACTAAAAGAAATTACTAAGTAAACGGAATGTAAACATAGGTTAAAAATTCAAAGGAAACTCAATACATTTTATAAAGGAACTATATATCTCCCGAATAACCTTGAAAGATTTATATTCGTGAGTATGAACGGATTTTATTAAAAATTAGCAGACATAATGTCTGTAATTTATTTAATCAGACATGTCTAAAAGAGAATTTGTTGCCTAAATACACAAATTTTAAGTTATATATATAAGTCTAAATACAAAGAAATAAACCAAATAAGATTGATAAGAACTCCAAATTTTACATATGATCCACCCAAAGGTAACTTCAAAAAACGTTACTACAATCATTTAAGTAGCTTTAATCATGAAACTTACAAACATAGTACCAGCCTGTCAACATACATATGAGATGTAAAACAAGAAGATGATAGTGACCCTTTTTTAAAATGGGAAATATTAACAAAAATGCCATGAATATAAAGCATATAAAGTTCGTTATGTATGGAGGAAAAATTAGCAATCGTCACCTACAATGAACCTAATAATTTATTAAATCAAAGATCTGAAATTCTAAATAAGGTGTAGGCATAGGAAATCCTGGTTATTGGAATAGATGATTGATTTTTTTTTGTCTTCTTCTGTCACGTGGTTTTATGCTTATTAGATTTTTAATGGTTTTATCAATAAATACTGTTTCGTCATTTCCTTTTTAGCCAGCTTACTCTGAAGATCCGTTTAGGTGAAACCTAGGTAGGTTTTCCTGGCTCTTTAGGATTTATTTTAGTTATTCCCTCTCTACTTACTGTATTGAGCACTCTACGTTTTAGTCTTACTACTCGCTTGTTTTTTTTTCTTTCTTTTGACTAAAGACTTAAGGCACTGGACGATTTATTTCGCCCTGTTTGGATGTTTTTAGTTCTTTCTTTTTTATTTCCAATTTTTTCCTCGGTTACCGATTTGTTTTGAGATATCTACAAGTTGAGCTATCTGAGTTTTTTTTTTTTTGCCAAACGTGTATTACTATTAGTGTATATATATATATATATATATATATATATATATATATATATATATATATATATATACTCCGTAATAAAAGAAGCCAACAAATTCAAAATGGAGTTTCAAATGGGCGTAGAGATGCAACTACAACACAATACACCGGCTGAAACTGCAAAATACTTAAAAAAGACAGCAAAAACAAATGCAACCGACCAGATACAGAAACAATGGCAAGATAAACTGCTTCATAGCCAATACCCTGCCCGTACCAAACAAGCTGACGTAGACAAAACCCGTACCCATCAGTGGCTACGTAGTGCAGGGTTGAAAGCTGAAACTGAAGGTTTTATCCTCGCTGCACAGGACCAATGCTTGCTAACCAGGAATTATCAAGCACACATACTACAATATTGTGTCGGCCCAAAATGCAGATTCTGTAATAAATATCTAGAAACGATTGATCATCTTGTATCAGGTTGCACGATATTGGCTCCCACTGAATATAAAACCCGGCATGACAGAGTGGGCCAATATCTGCACTGGAAAATCTGCAACTTCTAGGGGAAGGAAACTGAAAGAAACTGGTATGAACACCAACCAGACCCGGTTACGGAGATAGGACCTGTTACAACTCTATGGGACTACACAATACACACTGACAGAACAATCAAAGCCAACCGCCCAGACATTGTTATTAAAGACCACAAACAAAAAAAAAGTGCCTCCTTATTGATATGGCAGTCCCTGCTGACTGCAATATATCTTTGAAGATATTCAAAAAGCTGTCAAAATACGAGGACCTTGAAATAGAAATCTCGAAAATGTGGCATATGGGAACATCAACAATCCCTGTTGTAGTTGAAGCCCTAGGACTGGTTGGAAAAAGATTGCAGTAGACTAATTGAAGGGATTCAGGAAGTCCATGCCTCAAGGAGATACAAAAATTGTTCTGACAAGTACAGCCCACACCTTACGAAGGGCTTTATCTATGTAATTTTTTTTTTTTTTTTTTCAGTGGAAAGTGTCATGACGCAATTTCTAACCTTAGGTCCTTGGGCGGAACCCGGAAAGAAATGTGTAAACGCCAGAAATCAAAGAAAATAATAATAATAATAATAATAATAATAATAATAATAATGTCTCTGAAACAAAAATACTGATGTAGAACAATTCGTAACCCACCAGTGGCTAATGAGTTCAGAATTTAAAGGCGAGACTGAACAACCTTGCATAATAAACGGACGTATAATATAGTTATGTTAAATTAGCCATACACAGATGGACTCTCCCAAGTTAAAAATAAAAGCAGGTATTGCTTTTAGAAAGGTAGTTTCCAGCAATCAGTTCTGACAGTCGGACTTAACATTCTTGCTCGTTTGTATATGATTGTATTACTGTTCTTCTGTTAATACATTTGATTAACTCAATTCCTCTCTTTGTGTCTTTATTTCTGGCCACAACAGTTATAGTCTTAAATAGTCGTGTCGGATCGAGACTTTCATGTGGATGTCATGCATGGTGTCACACTCGTTCAGAAATATCGAAACTTTATCCAACTGCTTCCTCAAACAAATGGTTAAAAATGACTTTGAGCTGGTGAGCCATATAGGTCTCTGCAATGACCCCCATTGTTTTTCAAATCTCACTGATTGTTGCTAAAGAATGACAAAGAACTTTACCAAATATTAGAAAATCACGTCACTTGAGGACTTTCAACAACTGCATCAACTAAGATGCACGTGCAACTCACAGAAAAAATAATGATATAACCATGAGGTTGAAATTCCACACAACACTAAACAAAAGGTTAGGAAGGAACCCCCGATCAATACTGGGAAAGAAACGGTTAATATTGCTTTTACGGTTACCATCAATTTTTTTTTTTTAGATGAGGTATCGTTACTATAACATTTTTCACTTGTATTCTTTTCAAATTATTTGTGTTTCTTTTCATCAGAATTTTCAGGTCGTTTTTTTTTTTTCATTGTACGACTGTCACGGATAAGAAAATAAAAAGCGGCAAAAAAAAAAAAAAAAGGAAAAAAACGAAAAAAAAGAAAGAAAATAAATAAAAAGCAACAAAAAGGATTTAAAAGAGTAACTTGGCAAAATTTAAAAAATGAAAATTCCTCATCAAAGAGCTTCATACATTATAAGACTATATGGTAATATCTAAGTGTGTGTTTACTGGACTAGTTTTGGCGACATGCCAAAGTTGACATCTTACCCCCCCCCCCCACTAAGCACAGTTCAGGATGAAGAGAGTAAGCCAACTCCTTTTGTGGGAAGTTAGGGCATTAGGTTCATCTGCCTAAAGGTATTTGTGTGTGTATGTGTGTTTGTCTGTATCTGTGTCTATATGTGTGTGTCTATGTCTGTGTGTGTTTGTATGCATGTCTGTGTATGTGTGTGTATGTATGTGTATGCATGTGTGTATGCGTGTATGTGTGTGTGTGTGTGTGTACTAAATGTTTTTTTAAATTATAGCAAACCACCACAACTATTACAATACATCTACTACTACTACTACTGCTACTTGGGTAAGAAAAATGAGGTGAAAGAAAAAAAGGCAAAATTTATTAAATGAAAATTCTTTATTGAACTGATTCGCATAAATTAAGTTGAAATTTAATAAACGAATGAATCAAATAGAAAGCGTAACTTTGTTTCGATTAAAACAAATTCCGTAAAAGTTGTTATCAGTTTTTCTTTTCGCTCAAAGGTCTTACTAAGTTTTGCTAATACGACATTTTTTTAAAAAAAAAAAAGCTTGTTCAAACTTAGTACAAATGACGTAAGCGAAATGTCAATTACTTTGTTCTTATAAAATATAAGTTGGCTAATCTAATCAAACTATTTTATCTGTTTGTACGGGGTATAATGATAAACTACATCCGGCTTTTGAGCAGAAGGTTTTGAGCAGCGTGGAACCACCTCTTAATCGCTGTTACTCCCAGTTCCACCCCGGCCCGGGTGGTATCATCTGTTAGGGTACCAGAAGGTAAATAGCAAACACCTAAACAAGAATCAAAAAGTTGTTTTTAGTAAAAATACCAGCAATACATTTTTATAAAATAAATTACCAACAATACATTTTTATAAAAAGTAATTATTATCAATAATCAATACATCATTAAAAAAGTATAAAAATACATTTTTATAGTAAAAGTACCAATAAAACATTTAAAAAAAATTACCCACAATACATTTTATCATCTACAAACTAGATAGCTAAAATCATGTTTGTCTTAAAAGTATAAAATTATGTACAAAATTTTTTCTTTTTGTTATTTCTCCCAGACCCTGTTCTACCATCTATTTGCACAAGCCCATTAAGTATGTCACGCATTGCTTTCCCCTGCCCCTCTTTTCTTTTATCCGTCCTGTGAGTATCAGATTTTCCAAGCCTTCCTTTCCCATTAAGTGCTCCAGAAGTTTCAACAGACTCTTTCTGATGTTAAGTATAAGTTTCCTCTTTGTTTGCATTCTCTCCAAAACCGCGTCGTTGCTCACATGTTCGGTCCATGCTATCCTCAGCATCCTCCTGTAGAACCACATTTCTGTTGCTTCGAGTTTCTTCGTCATCTTTGAGGAAATTGTCCAGCATTCGATGTCATACTCTTTTCTCTGTTTCCAACGAAACATTCCTGTCTCTTAGTTCTCTGCATAACTTATGTATAGACACACAGAATGTGTGTGGGTGCATAAGGGTAGAGAGAGAATGAAAGAAAGGGAGAGAGAAAGAGACAGATAGGGAGAGAGAGAGAGAGAGAGGAGGGGGTGATGCATATAAAATTAAAATAAATAAAAAAATACATTAATAGTTTTTCATTTGCAAAAACACATGTTGTGTTGTCTTCACTTGTGTGCATAACTGTGTTTATATGTTTGTGTGTGTTTGTAGCATGTGTGTGTATCTGTGTGCATGTGTGTTTACTACTATTAAGTATAAGTAATACCTACACTTTAAACACAATTCTCAATTCAATCACCTTCCCAGTGTTTGAACAAATGATCAAACATTTTTAGAAATCACCTCTTTCTAGTCTTCAGCATCTATCTATCTATCTATCTATCTATCTATCTATCTATCTATCTGCTCATATGTATGTATACATATGTCTGTCTGTCTGTCTGTCTATCTGTCTATCTGTCTATCTATCTATCTATCTATCTATCTATCTCATTCTGTCATATCTATCTATCTGCTCTATGTATGTATGTATGTATCTATCTATCTATCTATCTATCTATCTATCTATCTATCTCATTCTGCTCATATCTATCTATCTGCTCATATGTATGTATGTATATGTATGTATGTATGTATGTATGTATCTATCTATCTATCTATCTATCTCATTCTGCTCATATCTATCTATCTGCTCATATGTATGTATGTATGTATGTATCTATCTATCTATCTATCTCATTCTGCTCATCTATCTATCTGCTCATATGTATGTATGTATGTATGTATGTATGTATGTATGTATCTATCTATCTATCTATCTATCTATCTATCTATCTATCTCATTCTGCTCATATCTATCTATCTGCTCATATGTATGTATGTATGTATGTATGTATCTATCTATCTATCTCATTCTGCTCATATTTACTATCTATCTATCTATCTATCTATCTATCTATCTATCTATCTATCTATCTCATTCTGCTCATATCTATCTATCTGCTCATATGTACGTATCTATCTATCTATCTATCTATCTATCTATCTATCTATCTATCTATCTATCTATCTATCTTTACCTGCTATTTGTCACATGTAACTCAAAGAGAAAATAATGCACGGAGGAGGACATTTTCATAAAGTTTTTTTAAAACCAACCAAGAAGTTCTGTTTCCTCTCTCATCACATTTTCCCAGTTTGCGTACAAGCTGTCACACATACGCTTTTATTTTAGTACTTTCAAAATCATCTCCAGTCATTATCAGGAACAGTAAAATATCATAGAGAAAATACTTTCTTTTAGTTTCTTCCTAGAATGTTTAGTAATGCTATAATTCTGATTTCAATAAGTATAATACATTGTATGCCAATGCTATTCTATATAGAATGGTCTTTTCTAAACATTACATAATAAGTATTGTACATTTTAATTAAAAACCTGAAAGTGACTTAAGACGAAGATATTAAATTTTTAATCCCCTTTTAAAATGCACTCTCCCATGATAAAAGATATTTTTGGTTAATGCGAATTTTTTCTTTTGTATAATGATCCGTTCTTGTATTTCGAGCGAGTGGAGTAATGAACAGCGGCTCGGTTTGAGAAATCGGAGAGCCGAGTTCGAATTCCACTCGAATCCATTACATTCACTTAGGTGTTAATACCCTTGGGAAAGGTATGAATCCTCATCTCCCCCGCACATATGGGTAAACAGCAGGACAGACTGGGTTCTATAGCCTTGGATGGCAACTGGTCTACCGCAGAAAAAGATGGCAACCAACTGCTGGAAAAAATCCGCCTCGTCAGTCATGTATTAAAAGAAACATGATCGCCTAAGCGTGTATCACACATGGCACATAACTGACTGACCCTTGGGAAAGGTATGAATCCTTTTCTTCTCCCTCCCACCAGCTATGGGTAAATAGCAAAACAGAGCGGGTTCTATAGCCTTGGATGGCAGCCGGTCTACCGCGGAAAGAACTGACAACCTACTGCGGAAAAAAATTTGCCTCGTCAGTCATGTAACGAAAGATACATGATCGCCTAAGCATGTATCACGCATGGCACATGACTGACTGACGTGCTAATACCCTTGGGAAAGGTATGAATTCTCTTCTTCTCAGCTATGGGTAAATATCAGGGTAGACCGGGTTCTATAGCTTTGGATGGCAACTGATCTACCGCAGAAAGAAATGGCAACCTACCACGGAAAAAAATCTGCCTTGTGTGTATTACGCATGGCACATAACTGACTGACGCTTTAATTAATGTTTTTTTTTAATTGATGCTCTGATAATATTTGTTTTGTATTAGTAATCCCATCTCACTTGTTAATTAGACATGATGATTGATGTTATACAAATTATCGCCAAGTGGCAAGTTAATCTACAGTATTGTGTAACCAATGAAGAATTTAATGGTGTTTCTTAATTATTACAGTTGAAAATGCAATCTCCCAGAGGGCATGAGAATTCATTGATGAAATTGTTTTCATTTAAAGGTGATTTTTGAGGTTCCATGTTATTGATAATGGTTGGGTTAGATGTTTGAAATGTTTTTATTCTTCAATAATAAACGATATATCTGAGGCATTTATGAAAACCATTAACTGATATGTACAAGCAAAAAAATATATTTCTAATTGGTTATCATCCTGTTTATATCAAGTTGCATCTGGTTAGAAATGAGTGAAAGAATGTTTTTATTTTTGTTTACAATACGATTGTTAGTGGTTTTATTCATTAAAGGTAATATTATTTACTCACGAACAACATTGGAAATAAATTTTGCATAGTGATTGTTTTACGTGAATCAATTCTTTATAAAAATAAAATAAACGAGAACTATCAAGATTCTTACATCGTTTAATTGCTAATGGACGAATAAAAACATATTTACAGTCAGCTAGTAGCTTTTAAATTTTGCTAAATGAATAATAACTTGCTGGTTAGCCAGTCTCTTTTATATCCAGCTATCTGAAAAAAATATCTTTTGCATCAGTATATTTCCCTTTGTTTTTTGTTAATTAATGTAGTTATATTTGTAATGGGCCAACACTATATATCCTACACCTAGCTAATCCGACTTGTGACCCATTCATTCTAACAATTTCTTCAATTACCACAATACCACATCTCAAAAATCATAATAAAACACACGCGATTTTAAAATACCTTCATATACGCAATTATTTTTCCTCTTTAAAATTTTTCTTTTTCCTTTTGTATTTTGAAAACGGAGAAAACATTTCTAGGGCCAGTCCTGCGTGTTAAATTTTGCCAAGTAAATAATCACTAATAAATTACATAATGAAGATGCTATGCAAGAAAGAATATTCTGAAATTTGTATTACCCCATTATAGGCATTAATATATCCTTAATATAGTAACACTTTAATAGATGGACAGAACAGAATATACAGGGTGTCCATAAAGTTCGGCAGGACAGACTGGGTTCTATAGCCTTGGATGGCAACTGGTCTAGGAGAAGGAAAACTCTGAATTCAAACCTGCTCTTAGAGGAGGGTGAATGGAGTCTCTCTGAGCCTTAGTTGGCAATCCATTTAGTGATGGTGTTACGATAAAAACACCCTTGATAGCCCTAGCGAAGCATCAAGAATTCAGCTATTTGACAAGATTATGAACTACACCAATCAAAGTATTGGTGAGTTCAATCTCGGCTATATATTAGTCAGATTTTTTTAAGAGTGTGTCAGATTAAAAACTTTTCAGCAACCCCTCTTAGGTGTGTGAGGGCATATATGCATATATACATATTTCTTATTTCTATAAATGCTGTATTTACTGGGTGTACGTGTTTGAATAGACGTCTAGTTTTTTCTGAACAATGAAATCAATGCCTGCCGGCCTAGGTATTGATTTTATTGTTTAAATGGAAAATCTGACTATGCCAAAAATGAGATACTTCATATTGGGAGAATAAGGGCTTTTTGGTTGAAGCGAAAAAATGTCAGTTCTCTCCAAGATAGTACACACACACACACACACACATATATATATATATATATATATATATATATATATAGAGAGAGAGAGAGAGAGATAATATTAGTGGTCAATATATATATATATATATATATATATATATATATATATATATATATTATACACACAAACACACACAAATATATATATATATATATATATATATATATATATATGATCGAAATAAAAGTATAAAATTTAATATTACAAGACATATTAAAACAATATTAAATAATAAAAAAAAAAAAAAAAAAACTCAACAACAAGGGGGGTGGAAGCAATTGGGTTTCGCTCCTGCTCGTCAGGCTTCACGGGAGATTCAATATTAAAACAGAGAAATGTACAATGTGAATAGGTGGAAAAAAAAAAAAATAAATATATATATATATATATATATATATATATATATATATATTTATATATGTTTGTATATGCAAGAAGGAACTAGAGGCAGATGACAGCGAGTCCCAACAAACATTCACGTTGTTTGCACAAAGAAGGCTTGCGGGACCCGATGTATATATATATATATATGCAGGGTGGATAAATTTTCGTCTAAATTATGCAAAAATTAAAATAACACTGACATCTCATTTTAACAAATATATTTACTAAAATTACACAAAAATATCTTGAAATAGTAAGGAGCAAATTTATTCAATGACATCGCCATTGGTTTCAACCACGACTTCGGGATCTCCTGCAACTCTTCTACTCTTCTGGACGATCTCCTTGCTTAAGATGGTAAATGCTTCCATAGTCCTTACCTTCAGCTCATCTTTGGTGTTACAAGGAGTTTATTGTTTTTATCTCTCGCTTAACTCCGCCCCATGAGTAATAATCAAGGGGGGTGCAGCCTGAGAGTTCGGTGGCCAGATGTAAGGGGTGATGTAGTGGCAGAAATTGCTTGACAGTCATGGCTGGGTTCTCCTGCTTGTGTGACATGGTGCAGAGTCCTGTTGCCAGACGTAGGGTCTTCCAGCAGCCATCATTTAGGCCCAGGGAAGCACTACCTCCTCAACGCACTTGATATAGACCACCTTGTGGAGGCTGAGGCTATTACCAACAAATTTTGGAGTTCTTATCTTATCAGAACGCTCACAGTGAGTTTTCTGAGCTGCCGTACCTTCGTAATCACCATTGAACTCATCCGACTCTTTCCAAATACCAAAGCAATACAGCATGCCGTTTTCAAATTTATGGCGGAGTTCATTGCGTCATTGTTTCCTTTTTTTTTCTCTTACAGATAGTACCCAACTGACCTTACTATACTGTGCAGTCGACTAAATAAAAAATGCACATGAGCGAAATTAATGTAAAATGGCGACAATTTTCCCATCGTACTCGTATATATATATATATCGACATAATTAATACGTATCAACTTATATATATATATATATATATATATATATATGTATTCATGTATCTGTGTTTGTTTTTTGCCCGTGGTTCTGTATGTTTGTGTGTGGGTGTGTGCGTATTGTGCATTCAAAATAATATTTTTAAATTAGAAAAATATTTCATTTCATATATATATAATTATTTATTTAAAAATAACATAAATATGTTATAAAATCACTACAAAAATATCCATTTTGTTTCAACACATCTGGTGTCTTATCAAGTGATGATGTTGAATGTAGATTGTGGAATAAAGGTTTTAAAAGGTTCAAAGGGGAAACGCTGTCATATGAGCTAAAATGACCAATCAAAATACAATATATATATATATATATATATATATATATATATATATATATATATATATATATATATATATATATAAAAAGAAAGAACAGTAAGATATATAATCCGGTGTTCTTATAGATATTTTTATTTTACAAAATAGTGCTCAATATAAATTTACAGAGCATTAATATTATAAATTAATTGATTTAAAATATGTTTTTTTATGAACTGTGTAGCGAAAAAAAACATATTTTAAATCAATTAATTTATATATATATATATATATATATATATATATATATATATATATATATATATATATGTATTATGTATTATATATATATATATATATACATATAATGTTTATATATATATATACATATTAAGTTTTATATATATATATATATATATATATATAAAATATAAAACATAATATATATATATATATATATATATATATATATATATATATATATATATATATATATATATATATATATATATATATAAGTTAATACATATATATATAATGTATATATATATATAAACGACCCATTAGCTTAAATTTGTACATTTAATAAAAACATTTTTGCAAAACATACACATTTGGGTGCTTGTATGTGTGTCTGGTTATTTGTGTGTATATTTGTCTGTTTATGTGTACACAATTATCTTAAATTAGAGTAGTTCTTCACACACACATATATACATATGTTTGTGCATATATATATGTGTGTGTGTATATATATATATATATATATATATATATATATATATATATATATATATATATATATATATATACATACACACAACTACACACACACACACATATATTTTATATATATATAAATGATAAAAGTATAGTTTTGCGATATGCTATATTCATAGGTTCAAGGGTTCAGCATTAGGGACAGAGTATATGTAAATACAAAAGTGGACACTGATGTCAACACAGTTTATTTCAAACTTGGCCTCATGATTGCGCTTAAGTATGACTGTCGCTTTTCCGTGTTGACCCCAGTGTCCACTTTTATATCTATCTATCTATCTATCTATCTATCTATCTATCTATCTATCTATCTATCTATCTCTTTCTTTATATACATACATACTTATATATATATATATATATATATATATATGTCTGGTGGGTGAAAGTATGGCAATGTTTGAGTTATTTATATATTAGTGAAAACGCTCTAAGTATTACTTCATAGATTGTTTATTGGTTACTTTTTAATTCTGCAAGAGCTTCTCAATTATATATATATATATATATATATATATATATATATATATATATATAAAGAATTGTGTACTTAGGCAGCAATCCTTAATTTATACATATTTCGCTAAAGACGACAGACAAGGTATTGCGATTAAGCACTTTATATAATGTTTCTTGTGTCGAAAAAGTGTTTTCTTTTCTGAACACACAGTGTGTAGAAACTGTCCAAATATTCGGTAATTCTGAACGGTTTCGGCTATACTTTTAGCCATTATCAAGGATGATTTTATTTTTGCTTTTTAACTGCCTATCCAGCTCTATTAGAACCCATTTAAACCCACACACAAACTTACCAGATTCCATCCGAAACATAGATGATACAAACATAATAACCTCATCCATATGTAAAAAAGATTAAAAATAATGGAAGCCATAATAATAAAAAAAGAAAAAGCTAACATTCAATAATATTAACTACGAACACGGCCACAATGTGCTAACTGTGTTCGGAAAATAAAACATGACAGAACATTTGGACAGTTTCTACACACTCTGTGTTAAATGAAAACACTTGTTCGAACACAAGAAAAATTAAATAAAAAGCTTAATCGCAGTACTTTTTGTTGTCTTTAATGAAGAAGAATATATATATATAATATATATATATATATATATATATATATATATATATATATATATATATATATATATATATATATATATATAAGTGGACACGGAGGTTAGCACCAAGCGGTAAGAAAATACATTTTCTCTTAAAACTGTTATTTAAATTAGAAGAAAATCGAAAATAAAAAAAATAAAAAATAATTTACTATAAAATCACAAGTCGATTGTAAAATTTTGACTTTTGATCTACACAGGTCAGGCAAGGACCAATCTCGCTTAGGATTATGACGTCATAGAAATTGTGCATTTCTATTGGCTGTTATTATTTCCTTCGTCAGAGATCTCTCGGCATGTGCTCATATTTATTCGTAACTATCAACCATCAGGTGTGACCGTATCTCCAAGGCTGATTGCCTTTTGTTTTACTCTTTTTTTTCTTTTCTCATATATATTAAGAACAGTGCGATTTGTAATTTTGGTCAGTAAATCGTCGATTGTATTTATTTAGTAAATTTATTTCCTTAAAGTCTTATTTTTCTGACGCAACAACATTTGGTATTTCGATGTGAAAGGGTGCAAGAAATTGGCTAAGAAGATTATTATTTTCTTAATGCAACTGTTAGTTCAATTTGGACACAAAATGAGGCATCATAATAAAATTTTAAAATTTGGTCTCGTGTTTTATTTATATTGGTTTTTAATTTTTAATTCAATTTTGTTATCCACACAAAGACGCGAGGCAGTTATCAAACTCTTTTTTTACTTAATATTTTGCGAAAGACAGAATCAATAATTAGCATGAAGATAAATTCTTAAATTGATTTTATCTATAAATACCTCGACCGAACTTGTAAACATACGCAGACATTTATTAACTACTGTTCCTTTTTTAGCGTGCGTCAGACAAGGTTCGCTATTCAATGAGCCATTACCTAAAGCCCTCACTTACATTGTTAGCTTTAATTTTGGCACAAGGTTCTCAGTATAGAGAAACCTGTGAGGATCGAACTCGCTACATAGTAGTAATAATGGTAAAACACTAAAAACTAGACTTACTTGCTTAGTTTATCCCACACGTCAAGGCGTGTGCGTTTTATAGTAGTAGTAGTAATAATTAGTAACAAAACGCCTATGGGTCGTTTTGTTTTTTTACACACACACACACACATAAAAAATATAAACAAACGAAAAACAAAAGAGAAAGTGGGGTAAACAGAACAACGAAAGGGAGAAATGAAAGATAGAGAAAATTAAACCAAAGAAAAAAAGGGGAATAAGGAGAGAGAGAGAGAGAGAGAGAAAGAAAAGAGAAACTATGAAATGAAATTTAAAGAGAAAAAAGGCAAGTGAGAGAGAGAGAGAGAGAGAGAGAGAAAAAAGAAAAGAGGAACTGAGAAATAAAATAGAGGGAGAGATGAAATAAAAAGGAAAGAGAAACTGTGAAAAATGAAATAGAGAGAAAAGGCAAGTGTGTGTGTGTGAGAGAGAGAGAGAGAAGAAAGATAAAATAAAAGAAAAGAAAAACAGTGAAATGAAATAGAGAGAAAAGGCAAGGGAGAGAGAAAAATAAAGGCAAGAGAGAGAGAGAGAAAAATAAAAAGAAAAGAGAAACTGTGAAATGAAATAGAAAGAAAAGGCAAGTGTGAGATATATATATAGAGAGAGAGGGAGGGAGGAGAAAGATAAAAGAAAAGAGAAACTGTGAAATGAAAGAGAGAGAAAAGACAGATGAGAGAGACGGAAAGATGGAGAGGAAAGAGAAAGAGAGGAAGTGAAAAAGGTAGAGAAAGAGGAAAAAATCAGATTGCAAAATGTAACAGAAATGAAATGAAGAAAGATAAACAAAGAATGCAGGGAAAAAAGAGAAATTGAAGAGAAAGTAAAAAGAAAATATAGAGAGGTAAGTGGAAGTGAGATAGATAGAATGGAAAGAGAAAGAGAAGACTAAGAAGAGAAATGCATAGGAGCGAGAGAAGAAGAGAAAGTGAAAAATACAGGGTAGAGAAAAATAAAAAGAAGGAAGTTAAAAAAAAGTGAAATTTACACAGAGATAAAGAAAGATATAGCGTGTATATGTATGAGGAAGAGATAGATAGATAGATAGATAGATAGATAGATAGATAGATAGATAGATAGATAGATAGATAGATATAGAGAGGGTGGGAGAGAGAGCGAGAGTGGGAGTGAGAGAGAGGAAGGGGGTGGGTGGCAAGCATCTGCTTGTAGAGACGCTTGGTTAGTGCGAGGAGCCTCTTTCCCTCCTATGTTGTAGCCTGGCAGTGTCAGTCTAACAACAACAAAAGACACACACACACCGATCACACGGAGGAAGAAGTTAGTGACAGGCAATGAACGAAGCAGGTGTGATCGCGTAGTGACCGAGGAGTAATTGCTAACTAACAAGAAGAACTCCATTCTTTTTATATATTCTGTCATCATTATTACAGAGTTTTCTTCTACAAAAATACAAGCCGATGAAAAGAAAAGGAAGCAATACTCGACAATCAGGAAACATAAACTACAACAAGAATGATGAGAACACGAGAACATCGGCTCTTAATGCTATATTTCACACAAATTTACACGGTTGGTTAAACAACTTTATTCATACGTACATAATTTTTTTCAAGCACCAATTGAATAAACACAGTTATTTCCAAATAATCATGCCCCAAAACAACACACACACATGATACGTAAATCGACACAAGCAATACTCTCGTTAGCAAAAAGAACATTTCATTCTGGCAGAGCCGAGAACGGATTGCACACATTTTTACAGATGCCATCCTTTCTTGTATCACGCACCCAGGCGGTTCCCACCTTTTCTTATTTCTTCACGATACTGAATTTATACCAGGCCAGTTTTGCCGAGAAGAGACAGTCCGAATAGAAAAGACGGTTGTCAAAATAAAATTCACTAACAAGCTCGCAGAGAAAGTGGGCTTCCTTCTTTCCTTTCCTCTTTCATAAACATGAGGATCTCGTTTAGACGCATCATTTTGGTCATTTTCCTACTGCCTGGCCTTCCTTTGCTATGGGTCCACATTGTGAAGGAGATCCGTAATAGCAACAGTCGCGATAGACGTGGTCAGCCCACGAATCTTCTAGAGACTAAAACGATATTTCCTAAAAAAGATGTTTTAGGACGCGATCCTAGTAGTAGTAGTAGTAGTGGCCATCATATAAAAAATCAATCTAAAGAGAAGAAGGATCAATTGAAGGATCCTTTGCCAAAGTCCGACAATGCCACTTCTGGTGATGTTGAATTTGTTAAGCGCATTAACATCTCTCTAACGCATGTCACCGCTGACAATGAGTTGAATTATATTCGTTCTGAGGACCAGAAGACATCGACGAAGAAAACTCCCCGGTCGCAAAGAGTGTTACCTCCCCCAAAAGAAGACTGCCCGCATCTGAAGAAAATAATTCCTAAAAAAGACCAGGAGTGGCAGCGTGTGTCCGAAGACCGATCGGCCTTTGTATTTTCAGCTTTCTTTGACGATCTCAGTGGACGTATTGTTAGGATTATCGGCATGAGAAGCCGCGCACTCTCGCCGGATTTATTCTGTCAAATTTGGTTGGATCGTAATAATAAGAAAAATAGTTCAAAGACAGAACATATACCACGTTTTGTTGTTGTTGCTGCTACACTGAAGTTAATTCCTGAAGATCACGGAAGAAAGTAAGTAATTTTTAAAAAAAAATTTTCAGTGATAACCAGTTAAACTCAAGCAAGAGGCATTCAAACCTATTTCGACTTTTATTTTTTTTCTTATTGTTTCAGGAATAGTCAACGATTTAGTTTCTTTTTGTTAAACTACCAGTTGTGTATGACTGATTCACGAGTGAATATCATTTATGATTACCAAAAAAAAAAAAAAAAAAAATAAATTCTATTTTTCGGCGTGTTTGTGTGAGAAAAAAAAGTGCGTTTTTGTTTTTATACAATTATCAATTTTAACAGCCACATTAAAAAAAAAAAATAATTAAAGATAAAATAAAACACATCGTTTGATTTCAATTTTTTATTTACGACCTAATAAGAGAAATGGTTAACTTTTTGTGGGTAGGGCGGTTATTTTTTGACTCGAAGATTTTTTTTTATTGATTAAAAAAAAAAAAAAAAATACAGGAATCCTCCGTGAAAAAGAATTAAAATAAGGAGTAATAATGACCCATAGTCCTTCACGCTGTTCCATACGGTGATACTAGCAATGAGCTTTACCAACCCGGCACTTGGGAAGCGATTGCCAGATCTCTCGATCCTTAAGTTTCTGTTTGCGTATTAAATAGCAAA